TTCTGATCACAGCTTGTAGGTACTGAAATGTTTCTGGATAAAATTCTACAGTGCCTATCTGAGATGGAGGTAGGGGGCGAGAACACAGTGGGAAGAAAACTGGCCACGAGCTGGCTGCACCTGGGTGACTAGAACATGTGAGTTCATTACAGGCATCATTCGAGGAAAGTTCTGTTTGCCAGGGATGCAAAGCAGGTTTAATGTTAGAAAGTGATGAAATTTGTAAGTTAAATTTCATCATAGGTATGTATAGATAGAAAAAATAGATTGAAAGAGAAAAGTTGTATTACCATTCTAAGTGATGCAAAAAGCTTACCTGGTGAAATTATTCAATCATGGAAATGACTTGGGGGAGAAAAGATATATCACGTACAGATAGAAATTCCCTGTAATGAATGTAGTCATTATGTATACCTAAATTGTACCAATAAATAAAAAGGTAGGAAACGTAAAAAAAAAACACCTCAGGTTATATATTCATACATATGAATGTTTAATTTCTTAATAAAGCATAGTTGAAAATATATTTAAAAAAATGGAGAAAAGAAACTACCTCTTACCAAAATAGAAGCAGAAGAACATTTCTTTACTCAGATGTTAAAGGGTATCACAAAAAACCAAAAGCCAAGGTCAGCAAAGTATAATACCCAGGCCAAACCTGGTCCCCTGTCTTTGTAATTAATAAAGTTCCAGTGGGACACAGCTAAACCAATTCATTTATGCACTGTCAATGGCTGCTCTCCACTGACAGAGTACTTATGACAGAGACTGTGTGGCCTGAAAAGCCTAAAATTTTAACCATCTGGTTTTGGATTGTAGTCAATATTCGTGCACCCTAACCTACAGCAAAATCTTACCAAAAGGTAAGGCTGCCCCGGAAATGAAGTATCTTAGAAACACCTGCTTTTAAAATAGTAAAACTACAATCTTACCTTTTGGGGAGTGTTAAAAAATGACTTGAAATTACTTTTAGAATTGTTCTGAATTGAAGTTTTACTTAATTTAAACTCTTTTTCACATCGTGCTAATTCCTTTTTGAGCTTTTCTCTCCGTTGTTGGTCTGCATCTAAATGGGAAAACACACTTTTAAAAATATGCAACAAAACAGAAGAAGTAACTTTTTTGGAATGGAATGGATCATTTTTCTTGCTAAAAATATTCATATTATGATATATGCATAAAATCTCTCTATATGTATTTTCTACTAAAGAGATACTTTATAGGAATTCTAAAGGGGTTGACTAAAAAGCACAAACATGATGGGACTTATGCAAGACCAAGGGCATAAGAAAGCAATTCCTAGGAGATATTAATAGATGTGTAAAGGTTCGAAAAGCTTAACCATACTGTTTGCGACTGTGTAACCACTGAATATACAGAGTTTGATTAGTCTACAGATTTCTCCTCCCAATGAAATATACTATGGACAGTGTCATATGCTATTAAAATATTAAATGTTATATGACTTTGAAAATGAGATTACAGTCAGAGGTGGTGGCACATGCCTATAGTTTCAGCTGCTTGGGAGGCAGAGGCAGGAGATTACCTGAGCACAGGAATTCAAGGCCAGCCTGGCAACATACTGAGACCTTGTCTCAGAACAACCAAAACAAAAACAGAAAATCTCAGGAAAATAGTCTGACAGCTTCTTGAGAACTTAAACATAGTGTAGTAGTCCTCTCATCTCAGGAGGATTCCACGACCCACAGTGAACAACTGAAGCTGTGGGTAGTTCTGACCTCTATGTAGTGTCTATTTTTTCTGTCCATATATACCTATGATGAAATTTCACTTATAAACTAGGCAGTGGAAGATACAACAGCAGTAAAAATAGAACAACTGTAACAATATACTGTAATAAAAGATTCTACCACATTACTAAGAATGGCGAAATTTAAAAATGTATCAGTTGCTCATTTCTATAATTTTTCATTTAATATTTTCAGACTTCCATTGACCACAGGTAACTAAAACATCAGAAAGTGAAACAGCAGAAAGCAAAACAGCAAGAGGCGACTCCTATGTTACTACAGGACCCAGAATTTCCACTCTCAGTTATGTAATTATTTTTCAATAAAACTGCTATAAAAAGTAAAGCCTCTCTGCACCTTATAAATACATATAATTTTTATATCAGTTAAAAATGAATGTTTAATTAAATATCTAAAAAGAAAATAATTTAAAAATATGAAAAGGTCATGTTCCAATCATCAAAAACACAGCAAAGCCTATCTAACATATTAGAAGTAGAACTACTTAAACAATTATATACGTTTGATAGTATGAAGATTGAAATGATGAACTCATCAGCTGCTGTGACAGAAAAGTGTAGCGAAAACAGATGGGACTGGGTGTGGTTATTGGGATGCTGAGGCAAGAGGATCAAAAGTTTCAGGCCATTTCTGGCAACTTAGTGAGACCCTGTGCCACAACGGGAAAGCGGTGCAGTGCTTGCTAACATTCACACGGCCCTGGTTCAACCCCTAGTTCTGTAAATAAAACAGAATCAACCAACTAAACAGTAACGACAGAAAACAGAGATGGGCTAAATCCACAGGCTTATTTCCTTTTGTAATGTTATAAAACCTGCTTCTAAGGTAGCCAAATTGATGGCAATGAACATCAGTATAGTATAAGGAGTTATAATGATTATTAATCACACTTTAGTTTGAAGTTTACAATCTTTGCAATTCTTCTGGTTCTATCATAGGGCTTTTTTTTTGGTCTAGCAAAAAAGGAAAACAAAACTCATGCCTCAACTGACTGAAAGCAAAAAATATGTATAAATACTAAGTCTAAATTTTATACTATTTATTTATTTACTTTTATTTTTTGGTACCAGGGATCGAACTCAGGACCTCGCGCTTGCCAGACAGGTGCTTATGCCACTGAGCTATATCCCCAGCCACTAAGTCTAAATTTTAAAAACCAAAAATGGAAGCAAGTCTTTAAATGCCACCTTTATGCTGTCAACTCCGAAATTTTCATCTCTGTCCTGGAATTTTCTCCTGAACCTCAGAAATGTACTCTAACTCCTGGGGATCACCAACTGGATTTCTAATAAGCATTGATTTCAACTTAAAATGACCAAGATTGAGCTCCAGATTTACTTCTTGTCTCAAATCTTTTCCTATCATATTCTTCACTTTTTTTTTTTTTTTTGAGACAGGGTCTCACTGTGTAGTTCAGGCTAGCACTGAACTCACTATGTAACAAGGCTGGCCTCGAACTCATGGCAATCCTCCTGTCTCAGCCTCCTGAGTGCTGGGATTACAGGCGTGCGCCATCACGACTGGCTTCATACTCCTTACTCTTGTAAATTGTAACTCTTTCAGGTTTTAAGTATTGATGGTCATCCTTGACTCACTCATTCCTCTTTCTCTCTTACATCTTATCTTCACCGAATCCATTCGTAAGCACTATTGACACATGGGAAGTGTTTCCAGAATCTGACCATCCTCCTCTGTCTCCCTGCATCTACTCCAGTCACCAGTACTTCTCATGCGGATTATGCCTTCATCCTGTTACATTTTCCCCTTTGCATTTATCACTATGTGACACATTGTACTGATTTGTATTTGCTTATTGTTTGTCTCCTCTAACTACAGTGTAAGCTCTAAAGGAAAGAAACTGGCTTTGTTGACCTCTTTAGCTCTAGTCTTTAGAACAGTGTATTGCACACAGCAGGGGCCCAATAAATATTTTCTGAATTAGTCAGTGAATAAACCCTAGTGAACTAAATAAGATATTACATAAAGTGACTAGTTTCTTAATTGGTGAATTTGGATTTTAGGTTTAAATTTTGTTCTCTTACTTTTAATAGAGAAGACATACCTCATATTAAGGAACACATAAAGACAACAAGCAACAAATTCTCCTTTATCCATTATTGATAGTTAAATAGCTGGAGAGCTAATAAGTGAATGCGGGTTTGACTCTAGAACTTGAGCACTCCACAGGAACATATATACAATAATCTTCTGTGCAATTTAACTTTGAAGAGGATATTTTGTTTTCAAATTTGCTTAGAAGCTGGGCATGGTTTCTATGTAGCTCAGGCCAGCTCAAATTGGTAATCTTCCTCCCTTCTGTTCCCAGAGTGCTGGGCTCACAGTCATGTGCAACCATGCCCGGCTTCAGTACGATCTAAATTTTTACATATAGGAAACACAAAATCCAAAGACATTAAATAGTTTATCCAATGTCACAAACAATTTAGTGGCAAATTATGGGATCACTTCTAAGTTCCTAAATTTAGAAATACAAAACAGGCTTTTGTTACTTATGGGTAACTTTTAAACATTAAAAAGGCTTTCTCAAAAGATAATACATCAACACCCTCTCAGATGACTACTATCAAAACAGAAAAAAATACAAGTGTTGGGAAGGACATGGAGAAATCAGAACAGCTGTGTGTGACTGGTAGAATGTAAAATGTTCCAACTGGTACAGAAAACAGTTCCTCAAAAAGGGAAAAGCAGAATTAGTGCATGATCCAATGATTCTGCTTCTAGGCACATACTCAAAATATTTGAAAGTGGGGTGTGCTAAGTCAGCTTTCCATCACTGTGACAAAAGACCTCAAACGAATGAACTCTAAGCAGGGCTTATTCTTATTCATGGATTCAGAGATTTCGGTCTATGGTCAGCTGGCTCGACTGCACTTAGGCCTGTGCTGAGGCAGAAACATCAGGGTGAGGGCACGGTGGAGGAAAGCTGCTCACCTCAAGGGGGCCAGGAAGCAGAGGGACAGGCAAAGAGGCCTAGAGAAATGGGTCAGGGACCAGACACAGACCTCAAGGTCACAGTCCTATGATCACTCCTTTCAACGAGGCCCCACCTCCTGTGTCCATCGCCTCCTAATACTGCCATCAGCTTTTGTTCTCATCAGTGGCTTAATCAGTGGATAAAGACAGAGCCCTCAATCATCTCCCCAAAGTCCATCAGCAAAGCCTTCAACACAGTGAGCCTTTTTGGGGGATACTTCGGAACCCAACCATAACACAGGGTCTGAAGGAGATACTCCTATTCCTATATCCAAAGCAGCATTATTCACAGTAGCCAAAAGATGGAAGCAACTCAAGTATCCATCAGCTGCTGAATGCATAAACAAAATGTGGCATATCCACACAGTGAAATTTTATTCAGCTTTCATGAAAGGAGATTCAGACATATCACACCATGAATAAACCTTGAGAACATTATGCTACGTGAAATAAGCCAGGCACAAAAGAACAAACACTGAATGATTCTACTTATTTGAGAAACTCAGAATAATGAAATTAATGGAGATAGAAGGCAGACGGTGGACAGGAGTCAAATTCATAGAGACAGAAAACAGAATGGTGGGTTCCAGGGCCCCGCTGGGGAGTTACTGTTTAACTGGTACAAGATGAAGATGTTCTGGACACAAGATGGTGGGGGTTCTACCAAAATACAAATGTACCTACTGCCGCTGGAATAAACACTTCAGAATGGCTAGTATGCGAAACTTTATGTGATGTGTATTTTACCATAAGCTTTTTTTTTAAAAAGGTAGATGTCAAAAGGCAACTTACATTTGATGCTGGCACTGATGCTTACTGGAATTGAGCAGTCTACCACAGCTGAAAGAGAAAATTTTGTTGTTCAATAATATTTTTGGTATTCACAAGTAACAATAAATATCAAAGTGGAAATCACAAAATGTTCCAGAATATGCAGTTCCTTGTTTGAGTTTATTGTACTTCTGGAGATGAAAAACAAAATATCTTTGATAAAAAACATACCAGGAAAAAATTTTTAAAATACTACTGGGATTAGCTCATTATATTACAAAAGAAAATATCAGTGAACCAGCATTGCAATATCACTCAAAATGAAATGGAGGGAAAGAAGACTGAAAATGAAATGAACAAAGCATCAGTGACCTGTAATATACCTATGTTACGCACCTTAACATACTTGTAGCTGGAGTCCTCAATCAAGCGAGAATGGAGGACTTACGCTACACGATTTCAAGGCTTACTGTAATATTGTGGTAATAGAGGAATGTGGTCTGGGCATAAAGATGGACATATAGATGAACAGATTCAAAGATTAAGTCCAGAAAGAGGTACACACATATGGTCAAATGACTCAAAAAGTACCAAAGTAATTCCACAGGGGAATGATGATCTCTCTGACAAATGGTACTAGAAAATTTGGACATAAATAGGCAAAATATGACCTCTGTATCATAGCATATATAAAAACTAACTCAAAATGGATCACAGATTTAAATGTAAGAGCTAAATGTATATATCTGGAAGAAAACTCTAAAAAATTATTCCAGAATAAAAATTTAAAAATAAAATGAAGGCTGTGTGTGTAGCTTAGTTGTATAGGGCTTGCCTAGCATTCATGCGACCCTGTGTTTGATTACCAGAACTAGGGTGGTCGGAAAGAAATGGAAAGACCCACTATAAATTGGGAAAAAATACTCACAAAACATACATCTGATAAAAGTCCTGCATGTAATGTATAAAGAACTCACAGTTTAATACTAAAAAGATAAAAGAAAAACCTCATTAAAAAATAAGTAGGCAACTGACCCAGCTATTTCCCTTCTGGGTATCTTCCCAGAAGAATTAAAAACATCATACCACAGTGATATATGTGCACCCATATTTATAGCAGCACAATTTGCAGAAAGATAAACTCAAGGCTTTTATAGGTAAATGGATGCAAATAGAGGCCATACTCATAAGTGAAATAAACCAGACTCACATGTGTAAACATCACATTGTCTCTCTAGTGTGAGAAGGTGAAAGAGTAAGTAAGATCCAAAATGTACAACAGATATTGTAAAATGGGAAGAAACTTCAAAAGGAAAGAGAAACAGGGATGGGGGAAAGAAAACAAGAAGGAAAAAGCAAAAAAAAAAAAATACATAAAAGATAGTTAATATAGTTATACTACTAATTTTTCTTAGTGCACTGAAAAGAAAGGTTTGTGCTTATGTTTAGACATATAATGCTGATATATTGTACTCTGAGTAACTAATTTAAAGATAACAATATGCAAAATTTATTAACCATTGTTACCCTTCTATCATCTTGGTTTGAAATTTTTTTTTCTCTTTAAAATACAAAAAAAATAGGCAAAGGTTCAAGTAGGCATTTTACCAAAGAAGATATATGGATGGCAAATGAGTAGAAGAAAAGTTGCTCGATACCATCAGCCACCAGGGAAATTTTGCAAATTAAAATTATGAAGAGACACTAGGACATACCCACTAGAATGGCTAAAAAAGGGCTGCTGATACCAAATGTTGGTGAAGATGTAGACATAGTGGAAATGCAAAACTGTATAGTCACTCTGAAAGGTAATTCAGTAATTTCTTAATAAGTTAAATGAATTTACATGACCTCATAGTTCCACTCCTAGAAAATAAATTTATCCCAGTGAACTAGAAATACATATCCAAAAATTATATGAGTAGCTTATTCCTAATAGCCAAAGGTGAGTCAAAGCAGTCCGTATGTTTGCTAACTAACTGGTGAATTGCAACAGAAACTGTGGTAGAGTACTACACTTAGCAATACATGGAATACTACACTTAGCAAGAAAAAGGAAGAAACACCAACAAAAACCAGAGGGTGGATTAGTCTCAAATGGGTTATGCCAAAAAAGCCAGGCCCAAAAGGATACAAACTATATGATTTACATGAAATTCTTGAAAAGACACAACGGTAGTGACAGACGATCAGTGGCTATCAGGAATTTGACAGGAGGGGCCGTGACTGTAAAGGATTAGGGGGAGATTTTGGGGTGATGCAGATACTCTATTTTATGGGTCAGCAAATTTCTTCTGTAAAGAACCAGAGAGTAAATGCTTCAGGTTTTGCAGGGTGAGGCAGTCTAGCACAGCTAGTCAACTCTGCCGTTTAGTGCAAAAGCTGTCATAGACAACATTTAAAAGAATGAACATGATTGTGTTTACAATTAAAATTAGAATTTCATGTTATTGTCAGATACCACAAAATATTGTTCTCTTTTTTTTTTTTTGCAACTATTTAAAAATATAAACAGCACTGTTAGTTCATGAGCTATATAAAAGCAAGGAGCAGGAGGATCTGGTCTGTGAGTTATAGTTAAACAGTCCCTGTTCTCTAGCATGAGCATGGTAGCAGTTATATAGATATTTTTCAAAATATTTAACCTTATAATTAGTGCATTTTATTGTTTTTAAGTTATCTCTTAATAAAGCCAGCAACAAAAGAAAAAATAAAAAAGAATAATAGGTAGCATCTTCTTTGTGCAACTTTCTTGGTTGATTTGAAGACAAAAAAAGTAGATTATAAACATATTAAAAGCCGTATCTAACAACAAAATAATATCAGAGATAACAGATACAGTGAAATAACCTAGGCGTTATATAGAATTTCAAACACAAAGATGACCCTCTGATTTTGCCACAAATACAATCATTGGTATTTCACTATGCCAACCATAAATTCCTCCATAAGTAATGTTTTAATTTTTGCCACAGACTTATCTTAATGAAAGGTGACATGTGGGGTGTACGCTGGGTACAGAATCTTAATGAGAGGTGACATGAGGGATGTATGCTGGGTACAGAAAGTTCCCGTCTGCACATTTTTACCTTTGGCTGAAAGGATTTTATTATAGTGAACAGCCATGTGATTCTTGATCAGCTGGAGGGTGGTTAGTCTGAGAGAAGAGGAGTCAGCGCAAAAAGCTAAAAATTAAAACATATTTAAACATTATATATTTAAAATTCATACGATCACCACGAGATACACACGTCACTGATTATTAAACTCACTCTTAAACAATGTTCTCAAATTCCATCTTTGTGATGCCGAATTTCCTTGAGTGCTCGCCTTTAGTTCTAGGATACCACATGGGGTTCTCTTACCACCTACAGTTACTCTCCTGTGACTGTTCCTTAAATTTTCCTTGCTTAAATCACTGTATAGTTTCTGTATCTTGATTTGACCCAAATGACACAAAAGGGCACAGAAAAGTAGTTTCAAACCAAATGCCAGGAGAAAGAACACCATCCTCTAGATTAGGACTAAAAATCTGCCCACGAAGTTCACAGTTTTGCCAGGGTGGTGAAATTCCTCAGCACTTGGTGTGAAAGTTCCTAGACAATTTGGTTTGGCTAAGCCAGAAGAAATGCTACTGGGAAGAGAAGTTTAGTTGCAGCTCGGTTTCCCAGAAATTCCAGAGGTTTGCCGAATACGTCCTAGCCTTAACCTTGTGCTGGAAACAGTAATAAGCTACTAGTTTTGAGGTTCTGAAAATTTGAGAAAGAGATTCTACAATGTAATCTATTACCATATTTGAAAAGTTGTTTCTTTTTTATCTCTTTTAATGTTGTATCTAAAAATCTTTAGCTACTTGCTTGGTTATAAAATGTTACCATGTTACTATGTATTTAACAATTCATGAACTTTAGAAAATCAAACATCCCCAACCACAAAGTCTTACACAAAGATTCTACTCTAGGAGGCAAGCTTCCAACTTTATACCTGAGAACAAGATCTACGCATCAGTTTACTACAGTCTTTTTGCAGTACTAGGCCTATCTTAAGACAAATATAATCACGTAAAAATTCCATGGCATTGAATTCTTGAACTTTATCCAAAGTACTTAAAGGAAACAAAGAAATCATTAAACATCTATATTCAAGTATACAGTGCAAATATAGGCATAACTTTTTTAACCATTAAAAACAGCTTTTGAGAGAGGAATAAAGATAGACCATGTTCAAGAACCTAGTAACTCCAATTAATGTAAACACTATGCCATAACATGAGCTAAGACAGATAATATCAGTAACTACGTAAAAGGTGATTGGGGAACCCAAGGGAGAGCAGAGAGGGGTAAGGAAGGGGAAAAGGATTTTTAAAAAAGCAAGCTTTGGTATGTACATGTAAGCAGCATGAATTGCAAACATGTACTAATAAGATAAAAGAATTTAAAAAGTTTAAAAATAAAAATAAAAAAAAGTTTTTGAGAGGTAACATATAGATAGGTAAAAAAACAAAAACAAAAACAAAATCCCAACAGCTAAAACAGCATGCAGAAACTGAGAAATAAGTGATTTTTCTACAATGAACCTCAGTTTCTTCTCCCAGATATATACTACTTTTTATACATCAATCATTCTAAGGAAACTCTACGCATAATTAGGCACATGAAATAATTATGAGCTTTACTACTACTGAAAACATTGCTTGAATAGGTACCATCTGCCACGCAGTGTTCCAAGCTCTTTACAAGTAAAAACTTATCTAGTCATTATTATCATCATTTAATAGAAATGGAAGCTGAGGTAGAGAGCCGTGAATTAGGTCTTGGGCCACACTGTTGGTACACTGTTTGGAAGTAAACCAAGGTAGCCTCATATTTACAACTACCAGCTCTGCACTTACCTTCTGAAAAGAAAAAAAAAAGTTGGCAAACTTTATGTATTGTCCTTCACTGTGCTTTCTTATGTATCTATATTTTAAATCTACTTTCAAATTTTTATTTAAAACTTATCTTTTAAAGTGTATGATTTTGGTGTATGATCTCTCTCTAATACAAAGAAATCAGTAAGATAACAGAAAATACAATCCTTCACATTGGAAAGTAACAGTATAAAGAATGTGTCACGTAAAGAAGACAAGAAGTTTCCATTATTTTGCCTAAAAATCCAAACTTGCAATTTTCAAGCTATAAGTATAAAATTTTATTTTAAAGTGAACATTAAATAAAAATTTACTTGGAAAGTTTTAAAATAGGAAAACATCACAGGGCTTAGGAACCCCGTTGGAGAAAGGGGCCCACAAACATTTGTTGTTATTCAAGCGCTCGTTTTCCCCGCAGAGCTTTTAATTTTTAGCACTTGCATCTCGAACCCGGTGACCACCACTCTCACGAGGCAGCCCCGCCTCAAACCAGAGCCGTGTGCTGGCACAAGCAGAGATGGACTGCAGCTGTGGCAAGATGCAGGCGGCAGATGAGTCCACATGCAGGGCACGTTAACAGCTTGAAATCATGACCTTAACTCTCTAACAAATTCCTCTTATATTCAATTATAATTAATAACATAGTGTTCAAGGATATGAAGTAACTGTTTCATCATCTCATATGATTTGCAAATGCAGGAAACAGTCAATCTTTTAGCAAAGTTACCATTTTAAGTAGTTCACTTACCATTACTTTTGGTGCTCAAGTGTCCTTTAAATAGGCATGGTGGACCACATCTGGGAAGGACGGGGGTTGTTTTGACTTTCAACAAAAAAACACAAGTTAGGATACATGAAACACAACTTTCATAAAAAACAGGATTGACTATTTTTAGAAGAATAAACACCTTTAAATAGAGTCAGTCATTTAAAAAGTTTTCAATCAGATTACTAACCAGCAATGGTCTGTCAGATAGCAAAAACTCTCTAGCCATCGATTAGAAGTCATGAAACTAGCACAATTTCTACCAGGAAAGACTGGGTTCTGCTAAATATTAAAACAAACACATGGTCAAAAAATGAACTTTCAAGAAATCCAGAAGAGGAAAAATAGTGCTTGACTTTTTGCTTGCTCAGAATTCAATGCCTCTTTATCTAGAAAACACGTGACATTTCCTTCAGTAGAGGAGGAAAACTGTTCCTCCTCTACTCCCGTGGTTGAGGGAGAACTGATCCTACAGTTCAGAGTTGGGTAGAGAACCCAAATCTAGTCATCTGTGTTAACTGGCTCAGCTATGAATATAGGATCCAAGTCCAGCCAGTGAGACAAAATCCTGGGACTTTCATGGGAAAGGAGTTCTTGCTGGGCTTGCTATGCCCACAACATAGTGTGTAAGCAAGTGTGGCACTGCTGATGGCTATCTTGGATCTTGTAGGGGGAATCTGACTAAGAATGAAGCCTGCACAGATGAAAGTAGACCCAAGATATTCGAGTAACTGGAGCTCTTTGTCTTTGATTAGACTTTTCTTTACCTAAGCCAAAAACTTCCCATTTTAGTTAAAAAAAAGTTTGGGTCAAAATACTAATTTTATTGAATACTAACATCAGACACTGTTCTAAGCATTTTGTGACTATAAATTCATTTAGCACTTGTAACAATTCTTTTTTTTTTTTTTCTGGTACTGGGAATCGAACTCACAACCTTGCGCTTGCCAGGCAGGCGCTGTGCTGCTGAGCTAAATCCCCAGCCCCTAGCCCTTATAACAATTCTATGAGACTACTATTCTCTCCATTTATGGATGAGAATAGAGCACAAAGAGATTAAGTTCACCGTGTGCTGAGATCACACAAGTATGATGTAATGGGTTTGGGACCTAAACCCAGGCAATCTGGTTCGAGCCTGAACTGTTATACTATTGTGAACAATATAAATTGCTCAGTACTTGAACTATGCTCTAAGATACTGTATCATATGGAATGAGTAAGAAGATATCTCAGCTTTATGTAACTTATCATCCCCCAATTCCATCCTAATGCATGTATATTTTACTAAAGGTCACAAAAAAGGAAAAGCAATATATTCAGAAAAGTTAAAGAGAAAGGCTGAAGCCTAATGATATTCCCTCAGATGGAATAAATGCCATCCCACCCTCTCTGACTTTTGAAGAGGTAGCTATGAGTGAATAATAGTACACTTGGCCCCAAGGTGCCATCCCAGTGTCTCTTCAGTATAAAGTGGTAGTAAGAACAAAAATGGAACTTTGATATACACTGAGGTCTAAGTTTTCCTGTCTATCTTTGGATGTACTCCAAGGTGTGTGTGAGTATATATATACTCACACACACTCATTGGTTTTTAACATTCCTGCTCATAAATGTCATGTTAAAATGGATAGACTTGTACTACATAAGTATTGCATAAACATTTTCATAGTGTTGGACAATTTAGGTTTTGCTTAAAAGCATGAAGCATAAGGAATACTGTTTGCAGGTAAGGAAACGAAAGGCTCAAAAGGGTTGCAGAAACCTTCATTTGAGTCAGGTGAGAGACTGAACATGTCCACTTTGGCTGGGTGTGATGGCACAGGGTGGTAACCCCAGCACTCCAGAAGGCTGGGGCAGGAGGACTGTAAGTTTAAGCCCAGCCTGGGCAATGCAGTGATTTAGTGAGATCCTGTCTCAAAATAAAATACAAGGGCTGGGGATGTATCTCCAGTGCAAAGGCCCTGAGTTCAATCCCTAGTACCATAAGAAGAAGAAGAAGAAGAAAAAAAAAGACACACACACACACAAAAGACTGAACTGAAGGGAGAAACAGACAACTCTTCCGGACCCTCTCTGTGCTATCTGTGTGTGCGTCATACTTTGTTTCTTTATGTGACTTATGATTTTTTTTAATGAAACGAGAACATTTTAGGTAACACACTGTAGCAACTTGATTGATATAGAGTCATTTTTAGGGTTGTTTTCATTGTTCATTTAGTGACTTGTTTAAACAATTTAATGAAGCGTATTTCCCAGTGTGAAACCACTGATGCTTTTCCCCCCGAATCAAAACTTCGGGCGTGTGCACAGCTATACCTTCTCCAATGAGGTCTGAAACCCAGTCTTTGGGAGGACGTCCCCTTGCAAGTTTGTCTTTCCTTGAGTGCTTGCCTTTGGTTCTAGGATACCACATGGGGTTCTCTTACCACCTACAGTTACTCTCCTGTGACTGTTCCTTAAATTTTCCTTGCTTAAATCACTGTATAGTTTCTGTATCTTGATTTGACCCAAATGACACAAAAGGGCACAGAAAAGTAGTTTCAAACCAAATGCCAGGAGAAAGAACACCATCCTCTAGATTAGGACTAAAAATCTGCCCACGAAGTTCACAGTTTTGCCAGGGTGGTGAAATTCCTCAGCACTTGGTGTGAAAGTTCCCAGACAATTTGGTTTGGCTAAGCCAGAAGGAATGCTACTGGGAAGAGAAGTTTAGTTGCAGCTCGGTTTCCCAGAAATTCCAGAGGTTTGGGAATCTGATGGGTCACTGCTAAGTATCTTTATGGAAACAACAAATTAAAAAAATTTTTTTTCAAGCTACTTTTAGTATCTATACTATAGGTTATCACTCTTTTTTCTCCTCAAAGGTTGACATTAGAGTATATGGCAGTTTGGTATTCTCAATCTTTTTTTTCCTCTTCCCCCAAAGAAGAGAATCCTTATGAAATAACTTCTTACCGATTATCTAGACCCCACCCTCTGACCCCCATTATACAAGTAACTAAGGCCTAGAGAGAGAAAGGTTTATCTACCTTGTTAGTAGCGAGAGACAACTAAAAACAAAATGTACTATTTTTCAGGCTGGCAGTCTTTCTACTATACCATTCAGAAGGTTTACCCTATAAAAGAATGTCTATAATATTACAGTAAGAAAATAATAAAAGGTAATTTTTTTCTTTAGGTGTCTTTTATGATTTCAAATAACTAAAGGTAGTCTAATGAAATCTAAGACATTTTCAACTAAAATTAAGCATTTAAGCTTTGGGTCCTTGAATTAAGTCAAGAATGTGTGTACCTTTATTAAGTAATCAAAATAAGCGCTGGGCTTATTGCAGGAGAGAACTAGCTGTTATCTAAAATCATGATTACTCATAAATCATAACTTATGGTATGTAAGAACTAGCCTGGGTATTTGTTGAAATTTTATTTAAAAAATTCAAAATTAATAACAATGTTTAATATTATATATCATATAATACATATCCTAAAATGAAGCCAATTAAATTGGATGGGTAATAAAAATATAAACCTTTTATTTACATAGTGACATGAGCCTAAATTTAAAATAATCAACAAGTACTGAGAATTTACTAGGTCTATTTACTGGAGTATGGACATTCTTTCCACATGCTTCCACCCTTAACCAGGCCATAAAAATAATAAAACCACTAGCTCTAGGGTTTTCTTTTTTTTTTTTTTTTCCTCTGGTACCGGGAACCAAACTCACAACCTTGCGCTTGCCAGGCAGGCGCTTTTGCCGCTGAGCTAAATCCCCAGCCCCTAGCTCTAGGGTTTTCTTACCTGGCTGGATTCAAAGCCTGTTCTGCCTGTAACCTGGGCAAGTTATGTATAATTTTTTATTTTCTTTTATTCACTACAAAGTAGGGCTAATACTTCTCTAGGATTTTTTTGAGTATTAGATGAGATAATTTGGGAATAGTCTGCTGGCATACAGCAAAGATTTTATTGTTGTTTTTGTTTCGTTGTTGTTTTGAGAGAGGGTCTCATTATGTAGCCCAGATTGGCCTTGAACTTTGTGGGAATTCTCCTGACTCAGCCTCCGGAGTGCTGGGATTACAAGTGTGTGCCACCAAGCCCAGCCACAGCGAAGATTTAATGTTTAGTTTACTGTAAGATTTCTGAAGGCCATAAAAGCATTTTGATTTGCTTTTTTCTAGCTCTTAGGTGAGGAATGGTGTATTATCCAGTTTACTGATCAATGAACGGCCAGTTATCTCCTACAGTCAGCCCAGCACTTATTTTGATTACTTAATAAAGGTACACACATTCTTAATTCAAGGAACCAGCTAACAGCTTGACCTAAATAGATTAAAAACGGAATTGGGGAGGAGGGGTTGTGTGCTGATTTCCTTATGTGGCTTGTAAGATTACTACTTGCTTAGCAAGTGTGAAGATGCAAATTGGATTGGGGCAATTTGTAACGATTTCTGGTTAAATAGCCCAGCCACTCTATCAGGATATCCATTTGACTAATACTATTGAGTCAAAGGCAGCGGTACATGGTGATTACGGATTAGTCCTTTGTTACTAAAGCTGCAGCCCTGTAGTCTGCTGAGCAGTTATACTGCATCACCTGGAAGCTTATTGGAAACGCAGTATCTCAGCCCCGACCCCAATAGACTAATTGAATCATAATCTGCATTTTAGCAAGATTCCTAGTGACATTAAAGAGAGCAGCTCTGGAGGAACGAGTAGTGGGGGTGGGGGGTAGAACGAGTTGGTGACGGGAAAGGGGATTTAGTATGTACTGATTACGTAAAATGTGCCATTTTTCTGCGTATTATCTGCATTTAGTCCTCAGGAACTCTATAGCACGGTCTTTAAACCCTACATTCAAGAGATGCGGACGTCGAGGGTCATCTCCGCGGAGAGCAGCGAGACTTGATTTTGGGTTCAGGGGAGTCGGACTCCAAAGCCCAAGCTCGACTCCTCTGCCTCGAAGCTACCGTAAAGGCTGCACGACCCCAAGCTCAGGCGACAGTCGGGGCCAGAAAGCGGACCTACGATCCGGGCAAGCAGGGCCTGTTTCTGGGCTGGGGCAAGGCGGGCGAATAAGCAGCGGACCCGGAGTGCCCAGGGCGCGGCCTCCACCCGCGCAGCCCCGACGCGAGGCTGCTCGTTACCTCTCCGGGTGCCATCCATGCTCGGTCCTCTGGCTGCTGACTTGGGGGACACAGCGGGACCCCCACGGCCCTTCTCCAGGCTAGGCCCAGCCGAGTGGTAAACTGGGAATGAGGAGCCGGCGGGTAGCCAGAAGGCCCAGGAAAAGGTCGCCACGTCGGTTGCTAAGGGGTCGTTTCCACAGCGCCGGGATTGTGACGTCACGGCGCAGGAGATGTACGCTTCTGTAGCCCCGCCCCCGGGGGGGTTCCCCGGAGCGGAACGGAAGTCTCGCGCCGGTAGGAAGGGCGGGGAAAGGGCTCGGAGCGCTGGTTTGATACCCAGCACTCTGCCAGTCCCCACCGAGCAAACTCCTGTCGGAAGCCTAGTCCCCGGCACCTGGCAGGCTCAGTCCCTGCGTGAGAGAGTGAGAGGAGGTGTTCTCATCAGGCATCCACGTCCCTTGGGTCCCAGAAAAAAGTCAAACACAAATATTCCTTGAGGTCAGGGTAACATTTCACTAGTTCCAAATAATTAAATTTCAAAGTAGTCCGTGACATCTGGATTAGTGAAAATCCGGTGGGGGAGCTGGGAGGGTGAAAGAAATCCTTCATATTTACATCTTAATTCTTTCCCTCTTTTTTTTTTTTTTTTTTGTCATTTTGGAGACAGGGTCTCCCTAAGCGGTTCAGGCTGGCCTTGAGCTCACTTTGTAGCCCAGGCTGGCCTCGAATTCGCAACAATCCTCCTGCCTCAGCCTCCCAAATGCTGAGATTACAGGCAACAACCACGCCCGGCACTACGCCTTAATTCTTAATTTCAATCATCGGTTTGAATTTCCTTGCTGCTCACTGAGCCTCTAGCCTGTCTTTTACCTTCAGGCTCTACCCCGTTTATATTTGCTGTGGAAGAGAGCTGCAGAGTGATCCAGGGCGATGATTTGTCCGCAGCGTTCTACGGTTTGTTTAATTCCGAAGCAGTTACCTGTGAATTCTTGGAAATAAGATTAGAACAGAGCGGAGAACATTCTCAACAGCAGACTCCGGAACTTCTAGGCTGGGTTTATAATTGTTGTGGGGAGGGGCGGGCCGTCCCTGTGCGATGCAGAATGCTTGGCCGCAACCCTGGCTTCTGCTCTCTAGAAGGCAGTAGAAACCCACTCACTCCACCCCAATTCCTGATAATCGAACACGCCTCCAGACAGTGCCACGTGTTGCCTTGCGGGAACGGATGGCAAAAATCTCAAGCCAGTTGAGAACCACTGCTGTAATGGAAAGAATACTGGCTTTGGAGCCGGATTTGCTGAATTTAACTGTGAGTTTCCTGGCACACACCAATTTGATCTTGGATTAGATTCTGTATGTCCCTGAGCCTCAAGCCCCTCTTTTCTAAAATGTCAGTGATGCTACTCACTGTGGTTACAGTTACTGATAGGTACGGTGGCAAATAAACGGAACTATTCCATGAACGTTAGCGTTCTGTCTTCTCAGACTCAAGAAGAGCTCAGTGCCAGAGGTTTCAGGGTGAAGGGGCAAAGTGAGGGACCCTACAAGAAGGAAAGAGAAGTAAACCATAAACCCAATTACAGCAACACCTGAACGCGTGGGTCCGTAAGACGTAGGGTAAAAAGCAAATTAGGTTCAAAATGAGAAATAGGAAGTGTGTTGGGTGGCTCGTGGCCCCAACTACATTCAGGAGGATGCAGGAGCAGGGAGTCAGATGTTATCCCTAAAACAGAAACTTTCCTTTCTACTCATTGTTACTTGAAATCCCTTTCTAAGCTCACAGAGACTTTCGGTCCACTATTAGTAGCTTAAAAAATGTCTTGCATATAATGGGCCTCCCGTAAGCATTTGTTAAATTGAATTAGACCTAAAGTTTAAGGACAAACACCCCTAGAAAAGGCACCACAGTCACTTGGTGCATACAAAGGTGATACCAACTTCTGTTATAAATGCAGATTTTAGGATAAAAATAGATTTTTCTTTTAAGTAGGAAAGGGGCTCTATGATTGAGAAAAGACAGCAAAATGAGATTCTTCCATTATTTCTGTTTTAAGTACAGTAGTATTTTGTTCCATTTCTTTCAAGACTCTATGCACAGGCTGGGGATATAGCTCAGTGGCACAAGCGCTTGCCTGGCAAACGCAAAGTCCTGAGTTTGATTACTGGCACCAAAAAAACCAAGTATACACATTAGGATCTACTTTTCCCTAACGTTAGCAGTGAACATGTCATAAAGACAATTTAATTTGTCCCTGGCTTTTACTCTATGTATGTAAGTAAGACAGAAGATCTCTTTTTTCTGCTTTCTGTTCCAAGGAGGGCACCTATGATCTTGGGTGAATGCATACAGCTGGCGTGAGGCTATTGCACTTGATAGGAGTAAACTCCTATCAACGCCCTTCCAATGGGGACTCATCCCAGTCCCTATAGGTTTGGAAACGATCCCTTCTAAAGACCTTTCACTGAATATATAAACCTGAATTTCAAGTTCAGAAATTATTCTAATGTATTTTTGTTGATAATTAGAAATCAGTATATCAGTATTTTAGAAGACAGACATTGTCTTTCCTAATGAGTTGGGCTGTGTAAGGTAATTATTGGATTTGTCTTTTTGTCTTGCTACAAAGAAGCTTAAAACTAAGATTTGTGCTCAGTTGTGATAGTTTATAGCCTACTTTATCTCTTTAATTCACTTTATTGGGAATATGGCTTTTTTTAAACAGTTCAATTAATTTTGTCTTATTGGATGAATTCTGAGACCTTTGGGAATGGGTACATAAATTAGCTATATGCTATTCATATCATAACATAGTCTACTAGAAACAATATATAGTTTATTATGTTTTTTGAATATTATTTTAAAGACTATATTATGCATTCAACCCCACCTTTACAGATGACCCTTAGTTTCACAATTCAGAAGATTCCTGGTGTTCATGTTTGTCTCTTTCTAACACCATCAGTGAAAATTATCCAACAAATGCATAAAAGCAACAAGACGTAAAAAGTCAAGATTATATTTTTCTGTTCACTGGGTTATTGTGCACATACTTTAATCCTAAAGTCCTTGAAGGACAAAAATGAAGGAAATTTACAATTTTTTTGATGTGTCTGTAGTAGGGCAGAGTAAAATAAACATTTCAATCTTGTGTGTGTGTGTGTGTGTGTGTGTGTTTGTGTGTGTGTGTGTATTTTGCATGGACCTCAGTCTCAGAACAAAACCATTTAGGTTCTGGTTACTGAGGAATGCTGGAGAAGTTGAGCTGTTGACTATTTCTCAGTCATTCCTCAAGCAAAATATGGTAGCTGTTGACTGAATCTAATAATTAAATGAGAAGTGGCTTATTGATATTGTGTTATAAAATAATAGATTAACCTGGTGTTTGTCACTAGGTGGGGCTTTAGTCAAGTTTTAAACTCCGTCCCATGAGAAAAGCAGCTGTACTGAGGCAATATTAACTCCTAGATCTTATTTAGGTGCAGCTGACAAACATTTAAAATAATGATTCCAAAGTGGAGCTCTTCCAGTTATAGTTAATGATATGTGTACTGAGTTCTTTTTAAAGCTTGGGAAAAAATTATTGTCTAAAAGTCTTTCATGGATAAAAACCCATCTTCATCATTGTCAACCTATAATTTGATTTTTCTTCATTGTTAGAAGCAGGAGAAAGCAGATATGGTTTAATTCTCTATGTGCCTAATAAAAGTATAGGTAGAAAAAGAGGAGTAAAAATAGAATATACTGACCCCAGATGACCACTGTTAGTTCTCTTAAAGACTACCACTCCCTGATATCGGAACACAAACATAATCTTGTTCATCTAAAATGATCATTCTCAAACTCTGAAACCACATAATTATTACTGCGCTTTTTAACCCCATACTTTATTTTCATTTTTCCTTCATGTATAAAAAGGACAAAATTGTGAGTCTGGGGTGGCTTAGCTGGCTTCTTTTTACCAAAAGAATCACTCATACTGTACCCTTTGGCTAATGATTTGACAAGTTTGCAGATTTTAGCTCCACTGATAATTGCCACGGTCCTCCATGTTACTATTTCTCCCCAGCTGTGCTCTTTAGATCTTTTCATCCAATTAAGAGAACCAGTCTCTGCGAGCAGAAATGACTCATTCTGTGGTTACTAGGTAACCTGTCCCCATAGCTTCCGAAAAGCATTTTATCTTCCACTGTCAATCAATTGCCACAATACTCAGGGAGGATACTCAGCCTAAAGATTTGGTAATTTCCACTGAACGCATTCTCTGTGTACGAGTGGCTACACCCATCAGAACAAAGCAAAACAAAAAACATAACCAAGTTGTTCGTCTGTCTCCATAATTCCACTTAAAAAGACAATAGAGTTCAGAGTTTATACAATTTTTAAAAACATTTTCTATTTTAAACTTACTTTTAATTGACAAATTCAAATCGCAGCTATTTATTGTGTACATTATGTTTAGAAATACATATACATTCTGGAATAACTGAATTAAGCTAATTAATCTATATGTTACCTTACCTACTTAGCATTTTTTGGTGTGTGTAGTGACAACATTTAAAAATCTACTCTAAGCTCTTTTCAAGAGTACTTTGCTATTAAAAGTAGTCACCAGGTTAGCAATATAACTCTTGAATTTATTCCTCCTGGCTGAAGTTTTGTACCCTGTGACCAAAATCTTTTGTTTATTGCTGAAACCAATGTCATGGAACTTTTCTTCTGTGTTTTCTCTTAGTAGTTTTACAGGTGTAGGTCTTAAATTTAAACCTTTAATCCATTTTGTTTTTTATAGTTAACAATAATTTATTGTATGCTTCAAAACAGCCAGAAGAAAGGATTTTGAATGTTCCTGATACAAAGAAATAATGAATGTTTGACATGATGTATATGCTAATTACTCTGATTTGATGGTTACATACTACATATATATGTTTCAAAATATCACACTGTATCTTTAAAAATCTACAAGGTCTTTCAAAGTAGTTTCTTTAGCTGTGTGTGGTGGCACATAACTGTAATCCCAACACTCTGCAAGGCTGAGGCAGAAAGTTCTCAAGTTTAAACCCAGCCTGGGCAACTTAACGATTTAGTGAGAATCTGTCTCAAAATAAAAAGGGCTGGGCACATAGCTTGCCGTAAAGGCCCTGGGTTCCATACTCGATACACAAAAAAGGTAATTTCTTTAGAATATCTGAGCAAGTAAGCTTAGAAAATGAAGGTGGGGGATAATTCTTGACCTCCTGAGACTGGTCAAAACCTAATTTGACTTCATGTAAAGTTTCTCTAA